AAAATATGATTTCATATCGAAATAGAAGGAAAGTTGTGACTGTTGAAAATTAAAGGAAAGGTTGTATCTGTTGAAAATTAAATCAATAGACACTATAAAATAAGAAAAGAGTCACGCTCTGTTGGAAAAGACCAACAGGAGCAACTCTTTGAAACAGAGTCTGTTAAGAACAGGCATCTATGCCTAAAAAGATGACCCTCCTTATCCAATGAAAATCAGAAAAACAGTAATATCTCTCCTTCTTCTTCCTCAAACATCTTCCAAGTTTTCTTCTATACTATTTTCTCTGCAGAAAAAATATTATAGAAGTTTGATAATCTTGTTATACTCCGGTAAGTGCTCAGTGGATTGATTTCGTCAGTGCAAAAACGCCATCAATCACTGGGCTTCATTGATCTTCGGAGGTGGTAGAGCGGCGCGCGTGGGGTAAATCTCTTTTGCACACTACAAGTGGGGGCGAATAAAACCGTAAGGACAGTAGCATTGATACACGCCTTGAAGTCAATTTCTAAGTTTTTCAGTTTGGTGTTCTAACAGAGAGGATGTCAGGCAAGATTAACTCAATGTCAACAGCTTCGTCCCGTCATAATGTCTTATCTGATTCATCGTTTTAAGTACAATATACCTCCTCAATTATGACCCACCAATTCCTTAACTCTCTGTCTTTTTTTTTTTTAATATATATATATATATATATATATATATATATATATATATAAACGGTAACAAATAACCTCAAGTCGAAGAAGAAACTAGATTATCTTTTATTTAATTTGAGCAGTGACCTCCGTTTACATACCAATTCACCATTAATTTCCTGTACACACAACAATATATAAAGAAGAAGACCGTTCCTTCGTAAACAGATTTATGAGGTTTTAGGATGCAAACTACGCTTTCCTTAATTAGCATTTCCACGTTTCATTTCAGCTGCCAAGAAAATGTCAACTCCGTATAAAATAATATTATTTCTTTTGGCTAACAGATGCAAAAGGTTAACAGAGCGTTTACAACCGAAATACTATGCGTGCAGTAACAAATGTTGCATTGAAAAACTGTCACACGTTTTGGTTGAGACGGGACATCAGCACTGCAGCATGCAAGTTTATCTTGTGAGGGACTACTGCCTGAATTAAACCATTATCAGCCAAGGAAGGGGCAGAGTTCAGCTCGTCACTTGCACTTTCTTCTCTTTCCAACTAATTTGATTAAAATTGGTGAAGAAAATATCGGCAATTCTTCCTGTTTTCAACATGTTTACTTAAAATTTCAGGGTCATTGAATCATAAGCCGTTTCTACTCTTTTACTCAAATCCAAATCTAGGATAGTTTATGCCATGGTACAACACCAGAATCAAATGGGGAGGGAAAGGGGAAAGTTTACCCATATTACAACTTTATTCTAACTGCAACTAGTTTAAGTAAAACTTGGAGAGTTTGAACAAGAGACAACGAGTTGTTGACTCATCAACCCAGAGACAACGAGTTGTTGACTCATCGCTTATCAAGTCATAGCAAGTCTGGGAACTTATTTAAGCGGAAATCTACGTGCATTGATATTTTTCACTCACAGTAGGGATGTTATGATACAGCACTAATTAAACCAACTTGTGAATGATGGCACAGAATCCACATTTAAACTAGAGGCTTTACATCTTCGCCAATGTGTAGTCCATTGCATCTACAAGGAAATCTGCAACAAAAAATTATGCATTCAAAAACAGAAGGGCACTGCTTGCTATGACAATCATCCAAAGAGAAGCAACTGACCTGCATCTTCCTTAGTAAAGCAGAGGGGAGGGGTAATTCTAAATACATTCCCATAGAATCCACCTTTCCCAACCAACACTCCAATTTCTACGGCAAGAAATAGGTCCATTAGTAATTTAAAGCAGGTATAATTCATGGCAAGATTAATATGATTGGGAGAACTCTAACCTTTCATCCGGTCCATAACATGAAGAGTTTCAAGCTTTGCAGGTGTCTTAAGTTTGTGATCAGTGACAAGTTCAACTCCAAGCATCAATCCTCTTCCCCTCACATCCCCAATAACTGCAGAGATGCACCCATAGTACAATCAGCAATGATGGAAACTTTTAAGTTTCTTTCTCAGTAAGTAGGTGCAACAGAATTTATGAATTTATAATGCATGGTAAACAGGAGAAGGGACCAAGCGTACGATCATATTTATCTTTTAGTGCAGTTAGCCTCTCTTTCAGATAGGATCCCACAACAAATGCATTCTCCTGGAGCTTTTCTTTCTCTATTACGTTCAGGACGGCCAACCCAGCGGCAGTACATACAGGATTCCCACCGAAGGTATTGAAGTAACATCGGCGGGTCAAGACTTCTGCAATCTCAGGGGTGGTTACAACAGCACCAAGAGGAATACCATTTCCTATGCCCTGTCCATGTAATTGAAGAAACATGTCAAAACACAAAAGCTAGCCACAAATGGAAATGCTAAGCCACACAAAAACAGATTCCAAAGAGACGCTTCCTCTTTGGGTGAAAATTGGTGAACCGTGAACATTCTAATTTTTATCTCTACCACCATTTTATGCATAAGGCAAAATGTGTAACTCAAACTTAATAATACCAGAGCAAATGAAGTCTGCAGCTATGTGTAGGCCAGCTTGCAAGACATGGCTGAGCTGTACGATAGTAATACAATACCTTTATTCTTACTGTTAAAGTGAAAATTGATGATGGTGAGGATTCTAATTTTTATCTCAATCATCATTCAATTTGTTATACAAAATGTTAGTGACAGCAAGGCATGTGGCTTTGAATAGTATGATGTACTAGTTAAGTCTACTAGTTTATCTACAATGCTTATGAATTTTAAAACAAATACAATGGTTGGCATGAGATTCTAAAGCCATAATCCAGAATAAGCAATCAAAATTGAAAAAATGCTACCATCACAGTAAGATAGCTGTTGTGGTGCTAATCTAACAAAGGGAGGTAGCGTGGACATTTTTAAACAAAACAAATGAGAAAATTTACCTTTGCCATTGTTACTATGTCAGGAACAACGCCATGTCCCTCAAATGCCCAGAAATGGCTCCCTGTGCGAGCAAACCCAGCCTGAACCTCATCAGCAATACAAAGACCTCCAGCTTTCTTTATGGTGCTATAAACAGCAGGCAAGTAACCTGGGGCCAATTCTATAATTCCACCAACTCCCTGTCAATGAGAACATAAAAGGAAAGTTAGGTGATGATGTCTTCCCTAGGACAACACAGAAAGTTGCTAAAAGGAAATGAAAATTGAAGGAGATGGTCAATATTGGTGATTACCTGTATAGCTTCAGAAATGAAACCAGCAACGTTACCAGAAGTTCCAAACTGAATAAGATCTTGAACATCTTTAGCATATTTCTCTCCTTCAGAACCAAAGTCACCTCGGTATGGATCTGGGTTCAAGGCATGATGAACTCCACTCTGATGAAGATACTCATGAGTTAGGCATACTTATGCTGACAGATTAAGTTAATTTTCATAATACCAAAACTTAGTATATTATTATGGGATAAAAGGAACCGTAACATAACAAGTTGCTATAACTTATCATAAGCATTTTAACTCTATGCATGGTTGATCCATCAGATTGCATAAAGCATATAGCCACAATGACATCTGCTTATAGGCATTGAACACATGTAATGACTAGTTTGGGCATGGTTAAAGAATTAGGTTGATTAGATATTAATTACATGTATTATGGGTATTATCAACATGCATGAACATGTGTCTGTACTAAAGATAACAAGCATTACATAAATAATACCTCTGTTCCAATAACTGATCCAATAGCTGCTGTCAGATACAAGAATTATTGAATTTTTAGCTGCCTCACTGCCACCCCCAAGAAGAAAAAAGAACAAAAAGCGAGATAGAGATATTGAAGTGGTCCTTTGTCTTTATGTCAGCATTTGTTGCAACTAAAATCATATGGCATATTTTGGTAGCTACCCTTGTCAAAATTTATGGACCTTATGGTGTTAAAGATAAGAAAAGGTGGTCCATGTGATAAAAGAACTACCTAACATCATGTGCTGCATTTTTTTATCCACACAACTTTGGGGTAAAGCTATTCACAGGTTTGCTGATGAGTTTAAATAGATAGTTTTCCACAATTGAGATCTCCTCTTCGATTATTATATATATATAAAAAAACCAAACAAAATCTCCTTAGATCACTTCTATAACGAGTCTTACTATATTCTTCAACCCCTCCACCCCCTCTCCCTCCCCCACCCAACCCCCAACCAAAAAAAACGAGAAAAGAAAGTATACATTCTATCCAAAAGATTAATACTTGCATATTTTAGCAGTTTAGGTTTTCATATATATGCTCTCCAGAAAACATGATTCTGAATAATGGACAGATTTTTTTAATAACTAAGCAAACAATGGATATAAATTTCAATTATAATGTTCATGCCATGGCAAAATAAAGTTGGGTCACAATCCAACAATAAAATAAGATTCTTGTAACATCAGTAGTTCCTAATCATCACCTACCTTTGTAATTTCATTTTCAACTACTTTAATTGCCCATTGATATCTGGATCAATACTTAAATGATGTCCAAGGGACATATAACAGCATCAAATTTATACGATATTAAAAAGTGAAAAACTAATAACAGTATCAAATTTATATGATACAAAAAAGTGAAACATACTTGTATAATGTTGAACTTCCAGTTACTTTGGGCAGTGGCTCCCATGGTCCCTGCTGCATTCCCGTGATATGCGTTCCTCAATGATATTATGTCATGGCATCCAGTATATAATCTTGCTATCATCATTGCCAACTCATTTGCTTCTGTACCTGAATTTGTAAAGAATACCACCTATACAGACACAAAAATAGAAACCTAAATTAAAGATGCATAAGAGAAAGTAGATGAAGAGACCAATTTAAATCCAAATGTACATCTTATTAGAATGAAGAATATGCAAAAATGGAAAATTCTGTCATGCATTCTTCACCTCCAAGTTGAGCAATAATTTGACCTAAACTTATCTCAGTTAGTTATGCAGCAAGTACATACAGGCTGTTATTTGAGCTATCAAAACTTGTTTATTTAGCAATTAAACTACTGAAACTAGCTATATTTAAATTTAAATCCAATAGTACTCAAATCTATTCACAAAAATCCATATCTAGTAGATTCTCAATATAACCATTCATTAAGAACACAGAAATGATACAGGTACTTGATGAAAGAGCCAAGGGCAACGAAAATCAATGTAAAAATCAAAATCTAACTAGCAATCAACCAATCAACTATAGTTAATTTACAAACCAATACAAAATACTATGACAAAAAAATACCTTAAAAAATTCATTACCATTTGCACCTGAGATATGGCCAGAATCGAAAATTTTCAACCAAATATATTAGGATTATTTTAATATAAACGACAGCTATCAAAACCGTCGACCGTGTGATGGGTAAACGGGTTGAGTAATAACCTTAAGATTGCCGGGCAACTTGGAGGCAAGGGCCTCAGCGAAATCGGCGATGGCATGGTTGAGGTAGAGGACAGTGGAGTGCTGCAAACGCTTGGTTTGGTTGACAATCGAGTCGACCACATCGGGATGACAGTGACCGCAACACACCGTAGCAATCCCTCCAAATGCGTCTAGGTATCTTCGACCCGTCTCATCGAACAAATACTGCATCCTCCCATCGACTACGTTCAGCTGGAAAATAATAATAATAATAATAAAAAGAATATTCATTATTCATAATCATCTTTTAATTATAATAAATTTAACATTCAAAAAAAGAAAGGAAAATGCAACAGCGGGACCCACAAGAACAAAAATAGAATTTAGATAAGGACAAAGTTCTGCCAAACTAAACTTGATATCGTTCATGAATCTGAGAAGCAGCCAAATAGAACCTAAATAAGTGCAGTAGTGAATAACTCTAGAAATTTCTTCTTCTTCGGTTTTTTTTTTAAGATAAAAAAAGTGAGTGAATAATATAAATTTTGACAATATGGTTAGAGTGTTAAATTTAATCAAAGATTAAAATTAACATCTAATGAAACACAGGATTTGCATGGAGAAAAACACGTCATTAGACATTTCGAAAGGACAGTCCAGCAATTAAAACTTAAATGTTTTCAACGTCAAAAGAATCGCTTTTTGGATCTTAAAAGTACATATGAAGAAAAGTAATTAATTTAATTTTCGTTATGTATCTCAAGACTCAATAGATCCTGTACAAACAAACAAAATAAAAAAAAAAAAACTCACGGGTTTGTTGTAAAAGTGAAACAAGGAGGGGCTGAGATACTGCTTGCGTTTAGAAAGGATCTCCTCAGCGGAAGGACCGGTGTAAAGAGGCGGAGAGTAATCAAAGGGGGGCATTTTGGGAACAACCACATCGTTGTTATCAGCCTCCTTTTGAACCACCTGAGAGAAGCAGCGTCGTCCTTGCCACCGCAGAGAATATTTGGTTTCCGACAACACCCTCCTTGCTGGAATAAATCTTTGCATCGTTATCTCCAACGCTGCCTCTCCTCTGTCTTTTGGCAAGAAAGGGAAAAATGAAGAAACAGAGTTCAGAAAATGTGGACTCTGTTTGGTTTATTTTACGTTGTAAAGTAAGGAAAGGAACTGTGGAGGATCAAGACGGTGTTGGAGCCTGATGGCGGAATAGATTGAGACGGAAACATTATATAGCCAAGGGAGTCCTGCTGACGTGTAATTGAGTTGTTGGTTAGTTTCTAGCTGGGAATAAGGTTCAAATGCCCCTCCTTTACTGATAAAATTACACTGTTGCCTTCTTACCTAGGCTTAAAATTAGCCGTCCACTGAGAAACAGGGGCCACGAGGTCACGCGCTATACTCCCTTCAATGGTAAGTGTATCAATATAAAAAATAAATGGTAAGTGTGTCAATATTTTAGATTTGTCATAATATCAGCTTTCTTTTCCGCAATTTATTACCTTGGTTTCTTTAGGAAATTTCAATATTTTTATATAATGATGATAGTTTAAATATGATATAATACTTAAATAAGTTTTTAAATTATTTTAAAATTTTAAATAAATTTTTTATTACATTTAATTAAATTTTTATATTATTATTTTAAATCAAATAATTTTTTATAACTAATAATTAATTACTTACCATTAGTTATAATACCACTTGTTATTTTATATTCATATGGTACTAATATGATATTGATGTGAAACGTAAAAAATGTCACATAATCATATTATTATGTCAAATTATCAACATAATATTATCATTAATTATGATATGTCTACATATAACATTTTTATCAATTATGAAATATTAGCATACCACGTTAGTTTCACGTGACATAAAATAATAAATAATATTTTGATTAAGTTAATCATTATTTATAAGAGCTTATTTAACTTAAAATAAAAATATTAAAATTTATTCAACTTAAAATAAAAATATAAAAATTTAATTGAACATAATAAAAATATAAAGATTTATTTAAATTTTTTAAATAGTTTAGTTTAAGGATTTTTTTGGATATTGTGTTTTAAAATATTTTTAATCATGAAATGATGCGTTGCTATTCAATGTAGTATATAAAAATTATTCATTAAAATGTATTAATATATGATTTTTTATTAATGAAAAAAAGGGGAAAATGATACATTTATTTAAATGAAATAGAATGCTATTTAACTTTATATTTTTTTTCTTTCACTATGTCTGAATAATTCATCAGATAAATCAAATATGAAATCTACTAATTTATGAAGGGCAATTGATTCATTACACTTGCTTTACAGAAAAAAAAAAACCTTATTCATAATACAATGTTCAAAATTAAATTAATTACTTTTTACCACATCATAAATAACAAAAAGTTCTACTAGGAGTACTGAGGTAATCTTTAATGTGCTATTTATAATAATTTTTTATATTTAAAATAGTGTTACGACTTTTCAATGCATTAATTAAAAATATTATTTTATATATTAGCTTTAAAACGCATTCTTAAAACATTCATGGACAAAAACTTAAAAATAAATTGATTTTTTTAAAATTTCCACACGAACAAAATAAAATATTTTTATTGGGGAGTTAAATAAAAAAAGAGTTTTTTTTTAAATAATCATTAAAGGATAATTGACATACATAAAGAAGAAGAGAAAATATTAAAAAAAATTAACAAAGACAACTAATTAATTTACAATCGATATAAATATATTTAAGTACTGTACAGATGCTGAACTCCACCAGGATGTAAATAGAGCTGAGCAATATTGAATGAGACTAATTACCCACTAAAACTAAATATGATTTGGGTAAAATAATTCAGTCTAATTAGTTCATTGGGTAGATTGGTTCAAAACATTTGATTTAATTGATTTTTTAGTCGATTATCGGTTTTAAAATTTTTAGATCAAACCGATCAAAAAAAATCAAATTAATTATATATATTAATATATATATAATATTTTATATAAATTATTTTTAAAATTATATAGAATATAATATGCATTTAATATTATGTTTTTTATGGTTTATGTAAAAAGACATAAATATGTGGGTGAAGGGACAAATATTATTTTTTTAGATTATTTTATATTTTATAATTATAGATGAAATTTATAAATTTTAATATTATGCTTTGTAAAAAAAAAGTGATAAAATTTTAATTCATTGGTCTAAAATCGAATTGATCAAATTAATTTAATATTTAATCAATTTAATTTTTTTATATTTAATTGATTTTTTAAAAATATATAATTTATTTAATTTTTAAATACTACAGACCCAACTACTCAAATTGCTCAGTTGCTCATTTTATACGTGTAGACAATTGAAAGTTAGGTAAGGGGGAATCATCTTTTTGCTTCAAGAAAGTAATTTATTCATTGGTTAATCAATGTTTTCTCTAGCGTACAGTAGTGGACCATCTGTACAATATTTGTTGGTATATTTTTCTTCTTTAGGTTCACTTAAAAATGCTAAAAGGGACATGAGAAAAAGCCAGAGTTAGCTTAATTAATTCACGTGCCCCATAATTCAATTATTGCTCTTTCTTTTTCCCATTATAGCAAGACACGAGAAGAGTTATAGTTTATGCATTCGTGACCTAAAGTTTTAGATAAATAGATAGTTTAACAACCCTTTACTGTTAAAACAAACAAAGTTACCAATTATGCTAACCGCTTCGTTGGTTACCTATGTTGTTTGTCTCACAATGTTTAGACATATGTTATGACTTCTAGTCTTTAACCATGTAGCGAGTTTGACACCGCGTATGTTCTCAAACATTAGTATAAACTACAAATATGATATTGATTTCGAAATTTCAGTTAATTTTTCAAAATTAAAATTTTGCAGCTTAAGTGAAAGATCAAACTACACAAGATTGGTCACCCGCCAGATAATTTTATGGCTTATATGCCTAAAATTAGAGGACGGGGATTACATGTGGTCATGCTCTTTTAACCCACAAATTAACAGAGCTCAGTTCAAATTTAAACATCAGCTAATGTCCCTGGTTCAGATTTTAGGTTAAGGGGAGGGACCTAGTGTTAATCTTATCCATGATTCGAGGTTTGGGGTCGTTGGCTTTACCCCATAAAGAAATCTAAATTCGGAATGCAACTCAATTAGAAGAGCAAACTACACCCTCCAACAGTAAATTTTTGGCATGTCTCTAAGATTAGTGAGGGCAGATTACACATGCACTCATGCATTATGCTCAATCCATGTACCTGGTTCAGATTTTAGGTTAAAGAGGAGCTTGTTTTCTTTTGGGTGTAAATTACGTATAAAACTAGAAATTATAAATTAGAAATACAATAAAACAACCCTTAAAACATGTACAACCAGAAAAAGAGAGTTGATTAAAACTAAACAAAGAACTAACCAGTATGTCTATAATTGGAGAAAATCTATATTGAGTGGGATTTAAGCTTGAGATCTAGCGATCTTAGAACTTGCTCTTAGTCTTACCGGTAACTTAAGGCCTTATTGGTTTAGCTAATATTGATCATATCCGTATTAGAACGTTTTGGTCCTTTACCCTATAAACAATTCTAAATTCAGAACCAGGATTAATCCTAATGTATCTGGTTTCAAAGTTGGGATAGATGGGAATCAGATGTTTAAAGATAATGAACCTAACCTTCTTTTACTAAGCACATTCGTCTTATATAATGACGTCCCTTCTGAAATATTGTACACGTTATAACGCATTAATCTTTGCCAAGTTGAAACAGAGGCAATTCCAAAGAATATGCCTTTTAGTGAACTCCGCCCATGCCGATTTAATCAGATTTCGCCAATAAATTGGTCATGAACTATAAACAAATCATCTCGAAAACAACGCAATAATATTTTTTTAAAAAAAGTTGCGGTCATGCGTCCTCGATTTCAGTCACCAAGGTAATAATGATTACTAAATTTTTTAGACAATGACTATGAATTGGAGCGCAAAGGAGACGTGTAAACTCAAATGTTATTTTGGACAAAAGAGGCTTTCAACATCAGAGTTCATCAGATGACACCTTGCTTGTATGTTCTGCCGTCTAGGATTTCCACACTTATTTGCTTTTCTCGTGTTCAGTTTGCTCTAGTACTACTTTTACTAGCATCCCATTTAGAGGCAAAGGCATAAGAATACGATGGTTCAATAATTTAAGCAAACTCCCTGGGCAAGGACAGTGATTGATTTGAAATGATTGTACCAACCACCTAATATTATTCCTATGGTGGAGGATCTAATCAGCCATTAACAAGATGAGTTAGCAAACACAGTCTTGTTTGGGATAATCGTTGTGTTATACTTGTACCCCATCTTATGGTTTTGCAACACTTCATTTTAACAAGAGGTGACTCTATTATCTATATGCCAGTAAATGTGATTAATTTTCATTGCAAAATAAAAAGTGGACATGAAAACAGGATCCCCCTTGAGATGATCATGAAAAACACGTTTATGGGTTTATATTATACTATTAATCAGATGAAAACAACTTCATATTTTCTTGAAAGATAACGATATATATATATATATATATATATAGACAAAAGGATGGGAACCAACCTGCCAGACAATCACCACATATTGATATTATGATAACAGGGCATCTTATCTTGATGTGAGCCAACGATGCATGACATGCGTGGCATGAATATTATATGGTTTTAATAAGTTATCTTGTTCTGACACGTTTCACATTATAAATGTTGCAAATGGTCACACGTTGGTTTATTTAATAGGCCAATGAAGTTGCGTCAATCAGAGAAATGATCTTGTTATTTCACAACCGTGGCACATGCTGCTATATGAAGCATAGCGCCTCCATCCGCAGGTGGAACAGCGCAGAACTAGAGAAGCAAACAACTGAAATTTTGGAAACAATTAGCCTTTCTATATATTAACATTGCTTCCCTATTACACATTAATAACCAAAAGCCATCATAATGATGCTCAAAATACAGATTTCCCCTATTCTATTGAGTAGTAATAATAATAGCAATAATAAATTTCTATATGCCTGTATCCAAGCTAATGCAGCAGTTGTGTTTACAGTTAAAGATTTTCAAAGTTGTCTGAAGGTAAGATTGAGTCGACCAGGACGAAGCCTAGTTTCCGCCAAAAGAGCCCGAGGAGCCGTGTTTGGAATGACGGATGGCACGCCATGAAACACCATTCGAGACTCACCACCAAATATTAATACATCTCCTGAATCCAATACCACTTTCTCTGCCTTGTCCTCATCTCTCTGATTGCCATACAGGAATTCAGCTGAATTACCAATAGAGAAAGAGACAACAGGTAATCCTTTATGGAGACTTTCTCTGCTTTCATCTCGATCCTGCACCGTAAAGTTAGCAATGAGTGCAAAAATTTTCTAAAACTCTGATATTCAAAGGTTATCCATCCAGAAAATGTCCAAAAACTTTCATATAGATTTCAGAAATTCTATAACAGATCAACAGAGAAAATATCTAGCAGATAAGAGTTTGCTCTTGAAATTAAGAAATGCTTAAGCACACAGAAATATAAATGTTTCTATACAAGATCAGACCTGATGGAGGCCAAGTCGCCCATTGGTTGTATAGAAGTTTATGATGCATATGTCTGGAGACATTGAAGGTAGTACATCTTCTACGTTGCCTATATAATTTTGCTTGATCAGGCAATGTGCGTCTTGGATTGCTCTTCTTACCAGCAGACAAAATTCACATGGAATATTGGGTGGTTCACAATCATCAATTGGATGTCGCTTATCATATTTTCTTTTCTGGGGATCCCAGTTCAGACCAAGACACATCACGTGTAGACGAAGTTTTGCTCCATCTTTGTAGCCAGGCCTATAAAATCCCCCAGGCCCTACACCAAGTGTTTGACAAGTCTTGACAATGTTGATCTGAAAATTAAAGGTTTATTCAAAGTCCTGCCAAATGTCACCATAAAATGAAAACTTTCTATAGAATAGAGAGTTTACTCCTAAATTAGCAACTCATTTCCAAGTATTAGTGAAAACTAAAAAGATAGAATGCAAAATGAGAACATAGTTTGCATTAAAGCTAAATGCATCAAGCGCTTACCTGTTCACAGAGGGAGATATAACGTTTCAACAAAACCATTCCAGGCCTCAGTACTTTTTGTATGCCAAAAGCTCTTCTTCTAGGCAAGCATATATCGAATCTTTCAACCTTAGGCAAACCCTCAGAAAAATCAGTCTTCTTGGTACCTACGACATCCTTGGATTTGCTTTCACCAGACACAGATTTTGGGACATAAATGTTTACAGCCTTCTTTCCAAAATGACTAGGCAAAGAACATTTATCCTGAAGGCTCAGAAATTTCGCCATTCCCTCGTGTTCAGATGAATCAGCAGCTTTGTGCCTTGGCTCAAATCCTGAATCACTCCTAGTTCTCCTATTATTAGAGTTCCTACCCTTCAAAGTGAGTGGGGGAAATTCATTTTCATCGCCAGATTGAAATTGCTTATCATTTATACTTAATGCCCCAGAAAATTCCACTGCTCCTCCACCAAACATTTGTTGCGACAATTGACTGCTACGCCCTTGTTTAACACCAGAAGATTCATTGCCAAATGGCTTATCAGCAGTTATCTGTTTTTTGTGAAAACGAGTCCAAAATTTGCAATTATTTCACTCACATTAATCAACATAGTAGAGCCGCAAGGGTTCAGCATTCCTAATTAGAATTATAACGTAAATCCCTTGAATTACAATTATCAAAAATAAGATCAAAGTGGCTATATATTATTCATATATTTTTCTCTCCTGCAGCCAACGTGGTAGCAAGGGTATATGTAATAATTATATTTATTTGATTGCAAGTACTTTCTAATAGGTTCCTAATTCACAAAAAAAAAAAGAAGCGAGTAGAGTGCAACGAAACTAGTAATCTTTTACAACAAAAATTTGCCCAAAATTATCTATACTTTAAATACTATTCTGAAGATTAGAGGACTTACTGAGGAACACCCAGCACGGCTGGAAATAGTTTTCTTGGCTGGATTCATCATCTTTAAAGAACAAAATGTAAGAGCAATTTGGCGGGAAACTCCGGCGGCGGTTGATAAAGGACAAAGTTTAGTTTGAACCATTCGGCGAACAGAGAGCATTTTTATAAAGGTAAGGCCGCGGCGCTAACTTAAATTCGCCGTTAATGGTGGTTGAGCTCACCGAGGAGTCCAAGGGGAGTGAATGGGGGCAATGATTCGATATAACAGTGAGGATATAAATATCCGCCGATTTCGAAGAGTTTACTTGGTGGCAAAGAAGATTTGATTTTCCATCTTCCAGGCTTCGGAGTTGGACCGTTTTATGCCCAGTTTCTGGTAACCCACATTACGCTGCAAGTTTTATAGTATAATTGGGCCTGGAAAGAATTTCTATCGTTCGCTTCGGCCTGTTTTCATTTTTGGGTTCTCCAAGTACCAAATACGGTCCGAATCCAGTTACAGCTCTAACCTCATCGTAGCAGAACTGCTTTGCTGAACGCTGACAAGAAACGTGGAACACGTCATCCAAGCGTGATAACAGAGTCAGCACAAGGCCTTTCCAAGTGGCGACATTACAGTGCTACACGTGGCTGGCACCCCTCCTGATTTCCATGACCTCACTGGAAAGCGAGGGGAGCGCCTGCCCACTCAAAAGTGAATAAAATGCAGCAGCACTCACTCACTCACTCAATTGACCCAACTCATTAGGTCAAGCAGGACCCACTTCCAAAATCCTGCTTTTCACTTGAGACTTGCACTCATTGCACGCCCAAACGCTGCTCTACTGTTTTAGTTTTTACACAATTATTATTTTGGCTAAAGTGATATAATAAACAAAAAAGTTTTGTTAATACGTGTTTTAAGAGAATTTGTTAATATTTTTGTATTAAACACAATAATTGATAATAAATTCGATGATTTTTCATATATTAAGATACAGATTAGAAAAATTCAGAAGCAAATTTTAGTAAAATTCTTCCATTTTATATAAATTTTTTCTTGAAAATCTGCAATATAATTGGCTAGACTAGATTTTGTCTTCCAAGTGGAGGAGCAGGTTTATTAGTAGTTAACAAAGGAAAAAACAATTCAAAGAATTTGACTAGAGAGAGTTGATAATGGATTGACCAAAATTTGCTGGTTGCCACCTGAAAAGCTTTAATTACATATAGTTTTCTGCTAATAAAATACCTTCATTGCTTCACATGGGACAGCCTGTGCACAACAACCTTCTGTTGCTTTACTCGTTTGTAGTGCTTTTAATTAGCAATGAGAAGACAAAACTGAGTAATTAACAATCCTTCCTACCTTAATGCCATCAATAACCCCACAACCATTTGTGTCACAAATAACAGTGCAAAAATGAAAGGCTCTGCCTCTTTTTGGAAGTGGGGTGGAACTTGCAAAGGTTCTCACGCTCATGCCGACCTTTTCTTTCTCTTTCTTTCCTTGCTTCGATCCTGCCAGGAAAAAGAAAGAAGAATTTATTTAGCAGCTGAGCAGCAGATATAAAAACCATCAGTCCCACAAGTGAAAGATTTTTGAGAGGTTGCAATCCAGTTTCAGTCATGAAGCTCTATCTGTGTAGTATTCTCATTCTATTGGTCAACTATGGAAGCTGTGATTCGGCCATTCATGTTGGCCATAGGATAAGCCTTGCAGTCCCATCGGAATACAGTGCTGGATTCATTGGGAGAGCTTTCCTGATGGACGCTAACCAGCTGGAACCAAATTTTAAAGTGGCATTGAGTGCTGAAGCTATCAAGGGGAAATATTCATGCTCCTTGGAAGTTTTTCTAGGAGATGTGAAGGTATGGAATTCTGGCCATTACTCGCAGTTTTACAGCTCTGATGTATGCGTGCTTGAGCTTACTGAAGATGGAGATTTACAGCTGAAGGGTCCGAAAGAGCGAGTGGGATGGCGAACCGGGACTTCTGGACAAGGTGTGGAGGTAAAAGTACTAGCTAGAATCATTGTGAAGCAACTACTGCTGATGACTTTGCTTTGCATAGTCAAATTAAGTGATATTTGTATTTCTCCTCCTGATGCAGAGATTACAAATCCTGAGGACAGGTAATCTAGTCCTTGTCGATGTTTTGAACCAGATAAAATGGCAGAGTTTCAATTTTCCAACGGATGTAATGCTCTGGGGACAGAGACTAGATGTAGCTACTCGGTTGAGTTCATTTCCCAGAAACTCAACTTCATACTACACTTTCGAAATCCTACACAACAAGATTGCTCTCTACCTGAATTCAGGTAAGTTGAAGTACTCTTACTGGGAATTTAAGCCTTCCAAGAACAGAAATATCACATTTGTTGAATTGGGTTCTAAAGGGTTAGCGTTATTCAATGATAAACATAAAAAAATCGCGCAGATTGCATCATGGAGAATTCAGCCCCTGAGGTTTTTAGCACTGGGAAATAAGACAGGGAATTTAGGACTCTATTTTTACTCACCTAACACCGAAAAGTTTGAAGCCTCATTTCAAGCCCTCAACTCCACCTGTGACCTTCCTCTAGCATGTAAACCTTATGGCATATGTACATTCTCCAATGCTTGTTCATGCATACGGCTTCTAACAAAGCAAAATGGCATGAGCTCTGATTGCAATGAGGGAACTCCAACAAAGTTCTGTGGGGGAGCTAAGGTAGAGATGCTTGAATTGAATGGTGTCGGTAGCGTACTCAGAGATGATCCCAGAAGGGTTAATGTTAGCAAGACAGCATGTGCAAATTTGTGCTTAGATGACTGTAAATGTGTTGCTGCATTACATTCCTCCGAAGACGGGGCCGAAAAATCCCAAGAATGCTTTCTTTACAGGCTGGTTGCAGGCACTAAACAGGTCGAAAGAGGGACGGGGTTGAGTTACATGGTTAAGGTTCCAAAAGGAATCCATGACAGTCATAGCAAACCTAGTGTGAAAAAATGGGTCTTAATTGTCGTGGGAGTGGTGGATGGTTTAATTATCGTACTGGTTCTGGGAGGGCTTGCCTACTATTTGATTCAAAAAAGAAGAAAGAACTCATCAGGCACTGAAAATAATACTTGACAGCATGTGATTTTTAAAAAATTTTCATTGACAATTCCAAAGCACAATGTAATTCTTTTCTATTAACAGAGACAAGAAAACACAAATTTGGCATTTTGTTTATAGACAGAGTTATGCAATTACCCCCAAAATATTTTAAATACTTATCAGTAACAGCTAGAGTTATATTGCAGTAAAGCAACTTTTAAGATGAGTAAATCCCAAACCTAGCGTTAGATTCTCTTTTATTCACTGTCTGACTGCAGTTATTAATACAAAGACAGAGAAGATGAGAGCAGGCATCACTAACCTGCCATACTCTGACATTACCCAGTGGAAAAGAAAACACAAAATTTAGACACACTATCATGTATCACAAAGGGTCAAATTTTCTATCATATCAGTTTCCATACTGGTGTGTTGAGTTTTCATGTCTTTACTCTCTAGCACATGGCAAAAACGAGCTGCACAACATTGCATTCATTCTAAGAAAATGATAACTTCCTACCTTTAAAATTCCAAGCAAGCAGAAAGAGGGCTTCAAAACAAATTTTACACAAGAGATAAGGGGCATCACCTATCATAAGAAAAAGGGGATAGTGAAAAAAATGAATTCATTATTAAGATGATCTAGGTTGCATCAATTGAGCTAAATATCTTTATGAATAATAAAAAAAAAAGAGATTTATCTTCATTCATGAATTTAAGCAGCTAGCAATCCAGTGTTGCACAAGGAAAATAAGGCAACAAAAAAAATGGTTAAAGGATAGTAAACACTGTTGATGTACCAGTGATTTACTCATTTCTGCAGAAATGCAAGGATTTTAAGCAAGCGAAGTGATGCACCTCTGCGTTATACAAATGATCTTATATTTGTAGTTCAAGTAGATGCTTGCGAGACAATCTTTAGAAACATTTGTACCTTCATCTACTTGAAGTTAAAGCTATGAATATGACAGCTATAATACTTACAGCAATATTGAGCTGAGTCCTTGATGGTTGATATATCACAGACCTAATCAAGTCAAAAGTTACTGTCATTCTCTTTAGCAGGTATGAAACAAAATGTTACGCTCAACCAAGACAATCAATACAGATTGGTGTCAGGTTCTTCAGTGGGTAAATTTCTCTTTTTCTGCCTATTACTTCAATCTCTCATTGTAAGACCTCAAGGGGGGGTGAATGCAACATGAAGCAAGCATTTATCACATGGCTGCATAAATTCTGAATGTGGGACCAGAAACAAAGGTATTGATCTGGGAAAGCTCCATTCAAATGAATACATCACTTGTCTGGTAACATTTTGATGACAATCTCTGATTTCCACTCATCTCCTAACAGCATTATTATGATCACCATCACGTTTATTCATTTGGGCAGTAGTGACTAAAGAGTCTTGTGAAAAGTTCTTCCTGTTGACATACATGCTTGCAAATTTACTTTTTCATATCTCATCAAGAAAATCTAATTGAAGGCAATATTTGAGAGAAATAGGAATAGTGCAAAAGGGATAAAGAAAATCTGCCTGAAAGTAATGGGATGGGAAATAAACGAAGGACACCATGATTGCAGAAATAGAAGTCGACTATTTTACTACTGATTGCCGTTTTAGCAATGTGATTGAATTGTACCATCAGATTCGGATTGTAGAGGGCCTTGATAAAGTCTTTACCAGTTACTTGGACCTTAAGCTGAAATCAGTTCTATTTTATTGGATAAGGCCCAAGGGAGGAAAAGGAGTGCAGAAAACCATCAAATGAAATACCTATAAAAGGACATGGATCAAAAACATCATTGTACAATATGTCAATTCAAATACATGACCATCCTAAATTCCAAGCAATGTGTGTGAAAAAGCTAATCAAATAATAACTAATAACAAACTAACAAGATGCATCATTGGTCCACTCATCTTTGCAATGTTTAAGTAAATTTATATATGCCTTGAAGTGACAACTGAATAGATGGAGGCAGATAAGAATAACCTAGAGGAGCAAATTCAAAAAAGCAAAGCTCTAGAGTAGATGAATATGATAAGAAAGAGTACTCTGATCTGATTCAATTTCTGTGGCAACATGGAGAAATCCTTTAGTGGAGACAAGCAATTGGACAATATTTCTTAAAGGTGCTAAGAACCAGAAAAGTAAACCTGCTACAAGCCTACAACATAAACCAAGCTGCCAAAACTTAGGCAAAAACAAAAGAAAGAGTATAGAAAAATGTGACAATTAGATGAGTCTATATTCCTTGGTGTACTAGCAACTCTAGAGAGCACACAATTTGGGCAACTAATTAATAGTGTGGTCTTCAATGTAATAACTGCATGATGGTATTGAAATCAAAGAATTCTTTGTCATCCTACTTTAGCGTTATAGACACTCCATTTTGTTCGAGTGAATTTATATTATATTTTTAATTATTTTATTTTTGGAACTTGGCTAATTTGTCTTTAAATCTAATTAATTTTATTTTTTTATTTAGACCACATCTTTTAACTTGTTTGAGCCCAATTGCACTCATTTTTGGCCACCTATCCTCATCTTTGGAGCTTAAAACTTTGGGCCACACCACTAAAGGTTTCAGATTTGGGCTTTGGGACTCAATTGAATTTTCATTTTTTAATTGGGCGTATGTCCCACAATTTTTTAGGGTCCATGAAGTCCAATGAGGAAATAAAAAAAACATAAAAAAAGAAGAAAAAGGACAGAAGCTGGAGTACCATGAGTTGGACTACCACAGTGGCTAGACTTTTCCTTCTTCCTTATTGCCAACTAACCTTTTCCTTCTTCCTAAATTGTAACACCATTTTTCCCACATTATTGCACTGTTCTCTGCTTCAGTTTTCCCCACAAGATTTTACCCCTTCCACCAGCAGCCCAAATTCTTCAAAATTTCATAGCCTAAAAGTATACACAACAAGCTACAAAATCCCAAAATTAGCAGCCTCGTACTCCTTCTATGCTTATTGTAAAGGTGGAGATGTGTTAGTTGCTAAAAGTGATAATTTGAATTTGGCATAATGTCCTAAAATGATGTTGAAAGGAAATTTATAAAAGCAATGCCATATGCTAGTATAATAGGGAGCTTGAAGTATACTCAAGTGTGCATGAAGTTTAACATTGCTTATGCAATGGGTCTTTAGGAAAAATGTTTATTTAATCTCAATAAAGCACATTACAAGAAGTTGCAATGAAGGTGCTGAGATAGTTGAAGTGAATTAAAGATTATATGCTAGTTCATCAAAAGGTTGAAGACCTTAGGGTATTGGTTAATATGGGGATTTTGACTTTGTCAATTGTTCAAACGATAGTAAGTTCACATTATGATATATTTTTTTATGTTGGCAAGTAATGCAATATCTTAAAAAAGTATAAAGCAAAACCTATGACCTCATCTGCTATGCAAGCAGAATTTGTAATATGTTATAAAGCAACTACGCAAGCTTTCCAGTTGAGAAATCTTAGTAAAGAGTTGTTGGTGGTTGACTCTATTATTAGACCTATACAGTTGTATTGTAATAATCCTGCAATGGTTTTAATTTGTTAATTGACAACAATATAGGTATCATAAGGGTTACGCATACAGAGATAAAATTTAACTATTAAAGAACCTTGTGAAAAATGAAATTAGTCAATTTATTTTTTTTAAATTTATTATATTTATTTAATGCTTTATTGTATGTTTGGTGTGTAAATTATCTAATTAAAGAATAAAAATTAATTTGAATTAATCCCTATGATGGAATTTTTTGGGAAATGTAAAGATATAACTGCTAAATAATTTTCATAGGGTGAGGAATTAATTAGAATTCAATCAAAGAGTTAAGAGAGTCTTAAAATTCCATTTCTATAATCAATTAATTCAAATAATTATTAGTAGTTAAAAATTAAAAATTAAAATATTTATTTAATTAATATGAACAAAAGAATAATTAAATATTGAATAACAAATGAACATAATTGTAGTGAAAAATAATGGAGTGAATAAGGGAATTTTTTTTCTAAATAAGAAACATAATTAAAAAATAAAATACGTGGAAATAACATTAGCAACAAATAAATCTTACTTCTATTCATTTTGCATCATTAGCATTCATTCCCCATTATGTTTGCATTTATTTGAGATAATTATTTTTGCGAGTAGATAAAAATCTCCGATGATGCGATCTTCTCGAGAAAATTGTAGAGACAAATTTTTTGAGGAATTCTCTAGGTCCTAGATTCTACCAAAGCATGAGAGACTTTAGGAGAATTTTTTAATATATGATTTTTATCAAGTATTTAATAAAACCGAAAAATTTCATTATTCATTCCATGAGTGCATCATGTGCATTATTAACATTAATCTGGCTCATAAGTGAAATTTAGATAATCAATCTAGATAAAAAAAATTATTGATGACATCATTTCACATCTAGTGATTGGGTCCTTGGACTTACATGTTAAGAAATTTAGTATTGGAATTATAGCATAACTTTTTATTTGATATTTTAAAAAATAAATTCACAATTAATTACTCCAACTTTCATTCCATGAAGCAGATTGTGAACCCTGCTAACTTTCTTAGTTAGAAGGTGATCTGGTAAAAAAAGCTAACAGGAGATAGACATGTGGTATATTCTTATTGATTCTTTTTTCCATATCATCCATTTGACTAATGGAATTATTCTCAAATACAAATTATTTAATGGAAGTAAAACTAAGTAACTAATTGTGAATTTTTAAATTTTAGGTATCAAATCAAACATTTGATCATAGTTGGAGGCAAATGTGTAATTAACCCTAACATGACAAGAGAAAGACTCGGAAGACCTTGTTGCAGGTCGTGCATGTGTTAGAATTTGGTACACTTATCGTTTCAAGAAATATTGCATGATGATAAAGTCTGCAAAGGTGTTGCAATGCAGAATCATTAATTGAAGAGTACTTATCAACTTTATTCTGTAGCTCCGGAAGAAAGGTCTTTTGTTTCTCCTATTTTGTGGGGGATTAAACATCCACTTCAAAGAAATAATCTTTACTGTCTAGTGGGCTAGTGTCCCTACGGACGATATATCCTTGATAAAGAGACGATTCTTCATCCACGTTTGCTATCATTTAGCTTTGTG